TGGACTCTGAAATTTGTGGAGCTTGTTAAAGGCAAGCAAGTTAGGTTCACCCTCAGAAATCAATTTTTCACAAGTATATTATGCTACAGGCCACCACTGGAGACCAAACCTCCCCTAGTGACAGCAAAGGAATGGGACTGGGGGTTCCTGTTTTCCACCCTCAGGCTGTCTGGAGCTGGGGCAGGGAGCCTGGGCTCCCCCACACCAAATCCCAACCTCTGAGGGAGAGAGGTGTGCTTCAGCTCTTACAAAAACATGCGGTGGTTATATCTTGGGGTTGTCACCGAGACTCATCTCTCTTCTCCTCCCTCCAGGTCATCGCAGTGGTCATGGACATGTTCACTGATGTAGACATCTTCAAGGACCTCCTGGATGCAGGTTTCAAGAGAAAAGTGGGAGTCTACATAATTTTGGACGAGACCAACGTGAAGCACTTCCTTCAGATGTGTGAGCGAGCCCAGATGCACGCGGGACACCTGAAGGTAAGGATGGCCTGAAGGGTCTGGGGCCGAGTAACCTCCTCCAACACAGGGAGACCATCAGAGCTATCAGCCCTGCTCCCTCCTATCCTGAGGGGATCACAGCACCCAAACTCTGGGCAGTGATAGCGGAGTTTAGTCCATTTTCCCTGTAGCCAAAGCTGAAGGTGATGCCCAAATCCAGGAGCAGCAGGATGGAGGGAAACAGATGAGAGATGGGGGATGTGGATTTTCCCCCAGCAAAGCTGGATGCAGAAAGGCTGGGGGGCTGCTGGTACCCAACCAGAGCTGGCTTTGGGGCAGAGGGGTGTTCAGAGAGCTGCAGCCTCAAAGGGTGGGCATAACTCAGAGAACTGCAAAGCCCAGGGCAAAGCTGCCTGCTCAGCTCCAGGTGAACAAGTCAGCAGGAGGGAAGGTGCAAGAGGCAGATGCGCTGCCAGGGCCGGATCCACGATGTCGCCAGCCCCATGCCTGCTCCTGCCCCAGGGGTAGGACTGGCAGGAGCAACCACCAGCCGGTTCTCTCGCTTTCGGGCTTTCCCTCAAATCAGAGGCTGGAATTAAAAAACTCGATTTTCCCCTTTTCCGGAGCCTCCGCCCCAGCATGGGGCCGGGAGCAGAGCAGGGAGGCACCCACACTGCCTGCGGCCCCAGCAGCTGCCAAGGATGCCCTCACTGGGCAGCACACCAGCGGGACCGATCTGCCTGCACATGCTGTGTTCACCGGGCCCTGGAGGTGCTGGCAGCTGCACATGATACTGTTCCTGTGCACAAATCCTGTTTGAAATGAAGGAAGATAAAGCAGCAGAGGGGATGCCTGGCAGCGCGGGGGCTCAGTCTCCAGCCCAAAGTGTCCCAAACCCCTTCCACATCCCTGTGCGTGTGGGGAGTGGCAGAGAAAAATTGCCTGGCAGGGTGCTCGTGCAAAGGCAGAGGAAGATGAAGGGGCAGAGGATAGGGTGGGGGGTTATATTAGCCTCGGGAGTAAGGACCCTCGCCCCAGCCACAGGACTGGCTCTCTGCTGGGCACAACATTCCCAACACAGGCACTGGATGCAAACACAGCAGCACAGCCCAGGAGTTTCACTTCAGGGCTTGCAGACACCGCTCTCCCGACTGTACTTCACCTGCCGGCTGCGAGTCGCTCGGCCTCGCCTGTTGCTTGGCAGAAAAGTGATGTTTCTGCGCCTGACGTCACCCGGCTGCGCTCACTGGCTGCCAAATGGCTGGCGGGGAGGCCCGTGCCCAGGCAAGCTCGCCAAATTTGCTTACAGTGAGGGTGAGCTGAGCAGGAACACGTAGGAGCCACAACACCCTCACATCGGGCTGGAGCGGGGCTGGGACACAGCGGGGGCTCAGGCACCTCCACCCTGGGGAGCTGAAAACACCAGCCAGCCGAGCCTCACACCTTCCCCAGCCACCAAGCCTGCTGACCCTGCTTAATTGCTGCTCACAACAATTAAGGCAGACTCAGCTGAGCTTTTACCCACGTCCAAACTCCCCGGAGAGTCTGGTATCCTGCAGACTGCTGCTGCTCCAAGACCAGAAAAGCCAGAGCTGACGCACGCCGGTGTTTTAATGCATTAGCAACGCCGGTGGCAAGACTGGAAAAGCAGGAGAACATCTGCAGAGCTCGGCAAACGTCTAGAAGTTGGGATTTGCCACATATTGCAGCCAATTTGCTGGCATGGGATGCAGCAGGGCAGGAGGCCGCGAGGAAACCAGGGCAGTGTCTGGGAGCTGCTTCGTAAGGCAGGAGATGCTAACGAAACGTATGTTGTTATCTCGGCGCCTTCCGCGCTTCACAATTAGCAAACCAGCTTGGGCAAGGCGGTCGCTTCGTTGAGCAATGAGGAGTGATTCAGCCCGTCCCAGGCTCGGCAGCCGGCCATGGCACTGGGTGCTCGCTTGCTGTGCGCTCGTCTTGGGAGAGATTAAATAAACAGATCTTACTTAACAGCAGCAATGCGCCGGGAGTGAGGAGGAAGGGAAAGGTAACCGGCACTTAGCTTCTGGGGAGCTTTGTTCCCCTGGGCGTTACCCAAAAAAACAGCTGCTTTCTGCCTTTGCGCAAAGGTCCAGCTCTGAGCAGGAGAGATCGAAGGTCTGGGAGAGCTGAGAGCCAGGGACGTCCAGGCTGGCCACGGCTCAGCCTTGGGTACAAGTGCACCCTGGGCACTGCCTCTCCTGGCAGCCCCATGTGTAGGGACAACATGGGACAGGGATGGGAATTGACACCACAACCTACTTGCCCCCAGCACCTCCAGTGCCACCCACTGCCAGACACTGGGGTGCTCAGCACTGGTTTACCCCAGACACACCAGGCAAAAAGGAGAAAGATAGAAAAAAAATAAAAATCAAATGCACAAAAAACCAAACCCAACCCAACCCCAAATTTCTCCACTCAGTGTGTAAAACTTCCCTGGAAACCCAGTCAGGAAAGCCTTTGCTTTTGCATCATGCTAAAAACAACATTAAATCACCATCCCTCCCGCCAGGAGCACACGAGTTGGAAACCAGAGGTGCCTAATCTCAGCTTGCATTGGGGTTTAGGGCTGTGCCGGGTCATGGTCTACAGGGAGAGAGGAGACCCCGGGGGAGCAGGTGAGGAATGCTGGAGGTGGGGAAGACAAATACTTTTGGTGCATTTAAAAAAAAAAAAAAAAAAATTAAAAAAATCACAGCACAAAAAAAAAACCAACCATGGAGGTCATGACCTAGTGACGACACGGTGCCTTTAGCAATGGCGTTACCAACATCCCAGCAGGAACAGGAATGCAGATGCTTTCATAAGAAAATATTTTCTCCACACCCAAGGGACCATTTGCAGTGAAAGATGCTATCTACTCAGCTGCAAAAATGTGCTGGTGCCCTCCATGGAGACACATGGAGCCATGAGCCAGACTGAAGATAAACATTTTCTCAGAGTCAGGGCGGCCCCTCTGTGCCCAGGTTCCCTGGGGGGAGGACAACCCCCTCCCCAGCCACCTCCACAGGGACCTGCCCTTTTGGCCCACGTCCCTGGGTTTCATTCCCAGGGGTGAAAAGATGTTGCTCCACTGTCTTTTTTCCCCCACCCACCCACTAAACAGGGCTAGATGCTCAGATTTCGGAGCACAGCAAGCAGGGAGTCTGGTAGAAGCCAAGTCCACTGCCGTCAGGTCCACATCTGCTGTCCTGGGGTCACCACCTCCCCCTAAAACCCTTTGTATGTGTCCCGCTGAGGAGGAGGTGAAGAATCACCTCTCCCATGGTGGTATTTGCATAGATTGCAGGAGATGGAAAGCGTTTGGCAGCTCTATCACACGCTGCTCACCCACGGATGCGTGCGGCGCTGAGTTCAAGAGGTAGAAAACACTGCCTGACACATGGGCAAAGCAGGAAATTCTTGAAGGCAATTTGATGGTTTGCTGTGTGGCCTCAGGCAAGTTAATTTATCTTCCCATCACTGTGGCCTCCTCTGAGTTGGCCATGAAGAGCATTTCCCACTCCTCGGAGAGGCTGAGAAGCATCTACAGGGGCATCGATGGACAGGTGAACGATGCTCTGAAGACCAGCCCTTTGCTTCTGCTCCTGCTCACGCCTCTACCTTTGTTTTACAGAATCTGCGAGTCCGGAGCACAGGGGGGACAGAGTTTTTCACACGCTCAGCCACCAAGTTCAAAGGGGCTTTGGCCCAGAAGTTCATGTTTGTGGATGGGGACCGGGCCATGTGTGGATCCTACAGGTAATCAGTGGCATCTCCTCTTGCCCACCTCATGGAGGCGTTGGTCAAAGGACTGATGCAGACCCATGTGCCCAGCATGGCCCCAGGACCCCATGCCGGACTTGCTCCTCTCCTCCTAAACTGGGGGATGTTTTTGCAAGGCCAGTCTGAAATTTGTAGTGGGACCCAAAGGGTCTCCACCACCCCACAGCCAGGTCTAGGACTCCCCTCCTTTCTCAGAGGTGGTGGGACACACCAGTGGATGGGATGAGCACAAAGAAGGACAAAAGCACCGAACTGCAGCCAGTCCTAGCTCTCATGATCTCAGCTTTTCCAGTTAAACATTTCGTACCTGAAGTATCTTCCAATTTGTCCATTTCCCACTTTCTGGCCACAACAAAAAACACATCCATTTATGAGTCGCTTTTCTTAACTAACCCACACTGAGAAAGGAAAAGCAGCCAACACTGAAGTGAAAAATTAACTGGCCCACAGCAAATACTTTTTATTTTTACTTCATGTTCCAGTGTGTTCAATACTTCAGCCCTTCATTCTGACTTGGCATGAGCGCTATTTCTTCAATCTCATTATTATTAATGTTTACAGTGAGATCATGCCCCTGATAGCACCATCAATCCTCCAGGGAAATCTAGGATTGGGGAGAGGTGTGTTATTTACCAGCAACCACTCAGAATGTTTCCAACATGCTTCTGTTCCAGCTTCACCTGGTCGGCAGCAAGAACAGACCGAAACGTCATCACAGTCCTCTCAGGTCAAGTGGTGGAGGCATTTGACAAGCAGTTCCAGGAGCTTTACCTCATGTCCAAGGGAGTGAGCCTCAAGTCCATCTCCATGGGTGAAGAGCCAGAACCCGAGCCTGTAACGCTGCCTTCCGTTGTGCCGGTGACCCCTGCCAATGCCGTGGTGAAGAAGCTGATAAACCCTAAATACGCCCTGGTGAAGGCCAAGAGCGCCGACCAGATCAGCAAGACTTCGTCCGAGAATCAAGACAAAAACCAGAAGACAGACAACAAAGGCAAAGCCCTGCCTGAGGGCCAGGCAGGCGACAGGCACGGCGACGTGGCAGACCTCTCCCTGCTCATCCACCCTGGCCTCCTCAATCTGGAAAAAGCCAACATGTTTGACTATTTGCCCACCTGGGTTGAGCCTGACCCTGAGCCTGGGAGCGAAGTCTTGGGCTACATCAACATTATTGACCCCAAGATAAAGAATGTGAAGCTCTCACAGATGAACCGCATCAAAGTCTGCGACGTCTCCCAGGCCAGTGCCCAGCACCGGCAGATGCTGAAGAACAGGGAGATGGAGACAAAGAAAAACTCAGACCAAGAGCCACATCTGGTGTCCCCCTGTCAAAGACAGACCCCACAGATCCCCACAGATCCTGCAGTCCCTGCTGCCTGCCCCATCAAAGGTGCCAGCTGGACAACGAAGCAAGCAGGAACGTTTGCTGCTTCGCCATTGGGCCATCGCTTGAAGCCACCGGAGGAGATACTGGAGGACATTAAGCCCCCAGTTCCAAAGCCAAGGACCATCCCTGTTGGCGTCCTTGTGACCAAAGTCATTGTGCCCTGTGACAGCAGCACTGCCCCAGAGGGTGACCCACAACCACCGCCAGCCAACCATGCGGGTGCAAAGCCAGAACCAGAGGAGAAGCCCAATGGAGCTTCAGTGGAGACCTGCCATCTCCAGCCAGACCAGCCAGTGCCAGGGCCACAGGAGGACAAAGGGCCTCCCTGTGCCCACAATGGGCTGGGAGAAGAGGAGGAGGAGGAGGAGGAGTATATCACTCTCAGTGACCAGGAGAGCTACTCCAGCAGCTCTGCTGATCACAGCTACCGCCGCTCCAACGCTTCCTCCATCTCAGACGAGTACTTCGAGGTGAGGGATCGCTACGGGCCGCTCCGGCGAACCAACTCAGATGTCACCCACAACGGGGATATCCTTCCCATCCAGAGGAAACTCAGTGACCCCCACATCAGCCGAGGCACCTTCCTCAGTCCGCTGGGGAGCCTCCCATCCCTGAAGCATGTCCACATGGAGGACATGACAAAGAGGAGGAGCAACGCCGTGGAGATTAGGTGTGTGCTGCCCCGCACCATCCTGGATGGCAACAGCTCCTACCCCAGCAGTGCCACGCAGGTAGGACTTTTGCTATAAACTTCCCTGTGTTTCTCCACCCTACAAAAGGTTGCAAACCTGGAGGTGACCCAGCCAGCTCTGCCAAGGCGTGGTGTCATCCCCAGCTTTGGTGTCGCGTCCTAGATGCTGAGATCAGACTTCCCATATGGGAGAATAACGCCCTACATATGATGATGGTAGGAGTCATCCAAGAAGTGCTCTTGGTCGGGAAGGTGGTGGCTATGCCAGCGTTTGGTGTCTGGGAGTGCAATGGGAATGGCTGGTAAAGGGAAGGTTTTCAGGAATTAAAGATTATCCCGTGGCATTGGGCTGTGGGACGGAGCCCATCAGCAGTGGCATCATGCCCAGCCAGGGACAGACTGTGCGCACAGGTGTGTCCTTCTCAGGCTTGTTTTCTAGCTCCTTGCAAAGGTGATTAGCATCAAAGTAAAAGCGCTCGGACACATAATTAGGCAGAGCAAGACAGCAGAGAAACAGGGACGGCAACCTCTGTGGGTGAGCGTTGCAGTCAGCAGCTTTGTGGCTGATCCACAAGTGACGCCAGACTTTGTCACCCCACAGGGTGAACGCCAGCATCCCCGCCGTGGCAGAAGCATCGCCCCATCCAGGCAGGGGGATCACAGGGTCAATCCCCTATTTCCACCCAAGTGCTGCAGCCTCTTGCACCACATCCAAGGATTCTCAAGGCTCCCCACCAGCTGGTTTTGGGGCATTCAAACCCCCAGGGCTGAATCAAAAAAAAAAAAAAAAAAAAAAAAAAAAAAAAATCACTGAAACCACCTGAGGTTACCTCAGCTGAACATCTAATCTGTATTTATAGGGAATTAAATTTACCAGCCTAGAGTCCACTTGCTTCTCCCTTCCCAGCCCATGACACAGAGCTCAGAGCAGGGTTTTAATCCTCACACATCAGTACCCCCTCGCGTCCTGCAGAGCCATGCAGGGTGAGGAGCACTGAGCCCTTTCATGCTCTGTGACCCAGGTCCTGGTTGCCACCTTGCTGAGAGTGGCCAGATACGTTGGCGATCCTGCAATAACTGGTTCTGGCCCTTTGCTGAAAGGCAGATAATTAACACACCACCAGGTTAGGAAAGCCAGCGCTCAGCTGATGGAAATGTGCAGAGAATTGTTTCTCCTGTTCATAAAAACCAAAGCAACCCTTGATCACCTCCCTAGAAACCTTGAATCTGAAAAGAATCACTATCAACCCCCCACCAAAATTTTTTATTCTGGGTGCAGATTTCTTATAAACACATGGAGGCTCACTGAGGGCAAACATCACTTTTTCCATCACATAGAAGAGACGTCACCCAGGTTATCCCTGGAGTGTTGTGTTGCCTAAATACATGCAGCCCTGTTCACACCTGGCATCACGGTTGAGTGCAGTAGCATTGGGTGATGCACGGCGGGCACAAGGAGAGTGCTGAGGACACTCAGGTCCTCTCCTGTCCCTCTCCCTCCTGCACACCCCCCAGGTCTGTGCAGAGCAGAGGTTTCCAGACAAGCCCCACTCCTATTCATCATTTAGCAACAGGCAAAATACCCACCTCTCCAGCTCCGCGCCCGCACGGCCGGGCCCTTACCTGGGTACAGGACCCTGCTGATCATCCCCGGCATGATGATAACGAACAAGGGCAGCATCTTCAGGTAGCTGGCCAAGATGGAGCCGGCCTTGGCGTGACAAAGGCTCTTTGCAGAGAGCGACCGCTGAACGATGACCTGTGGGAGAGCCGGGCAGGACGGTTGAGCAGCCGCCAACACTTCCTATTCCACATCAGCCTCCCCCTTGCCAAACTGCATCCCAAGCATCTCCAGAGGCCAGAGTCACTGGGCATTGGGCCCAAACACAGCTCCCAAAAGCAGTGTAGATGTGTCCCCAACCCACGGGCTGGGTTTCTCTCCAGACCAGCAATGGGCTGGTGTTATGCCCTAACACCACTAAAGCCCAGTGCAACCACAGCAGCTCATCCTCCTGCCAGTATCAACCATTACCCACCACCATCCTCTCCCCTCTTGCTCCTTCTATTCCATCTCAATCTCTTCCACAGAGAATGCCCACAATGAAATGGACACCAGGTCCAGCCTCCTCCTACCACAGCTCCACCACCCACACAGCTCAAACCACCACACTTCAAAGCTCTGGCCAAGCTGTGTCCATCCACGATAGAGCCAGCCCTTGTGCGTTGAGGCAGTCTCCCTTAAATAGACAACATCTATAGGAAATTCTGACTTTGAAAGAGCTCAGGCTCTCCCCAAAGGCTTACAGAGAAGTGCTCAGCACCCATCAGGATTCAGCCACTCCTGGCTCATGCTACTGGTGGGCAGGAGGGATGGGGTGCCAGTTCCTGGGGTGGATGCTTGGGGAAGCCGTGGTTCAACTTCTGCCCAAGAGCCAGAACATGTTAGGAGCCACAGGACCAGCAGCCAGCTCAGGCACCACGTGTACCACATCAGGCACATGATGACCTCTAAGGGAGAGCAGCTAAATCACCCTTAGTCCTTCCCACCTGAAGGCATCTCAGGCCTTAGCACTGATTTTGAGCAATGTAGTTAAACCAATCTAGCATTACTGAAGCTAAACTGCTTTAATGCAGCCCTCCTGGTCAAGGCAGAAGGTGTCTGCTTGAGGACCAGTGAGACCATTGAGATATTGGGACTAAATGTCTGAACACCAAGATGATGCCAACAGCACAGTGGAGATGCAGCCCTGGTGGCGTGGCAGGGGTCACAGCAGAGGCAGGGCAGGTCGGTGCCACCAGCTCTGCAGCCTCCCAGCCTCGGCTCATCCCACCATCAGCACCTGCGCTCACTAGATCCAATCTCGCCCGGGTACATCTGCACAGGGTGCAATCACACCTCCAGATTGCGGTGCAGACACACCCAAAGAGGAAGATAAATATCTGGTGACCACAGCCAGGCGTTAAGGCCTTACCCAGTCCAGAATTAAGATTAATGGTACTCAGACCCAATCCAAATGTGTGTCTCAACCCAGCTAATCAGAGCCTCCCCCGCAGTGGTGTTGCAGCTCACTGTTGTCTCCTGATCCCACCTCCTCTCCCAACCCTCTGTCCTTTCATCTAATCTTGGTAGCCACCTAATCCCACAGGTTGGGTCTGGATGGCCGAATGCTCTTTGGGCCTGAAATAAGCACTTAGGTGATTAAAACGGGTGTTCAGGCTGCTGCTGGAGAGATAGTGTTGAGATGCTACTGGCATCCTTGGTCCTGGATCTCCAGGCAGCAGTGACTTGGCTCAGGACAGCCACAGGGCTGCTCAGGAAGGGACTGCTGAGATGTTGGGATGTGCAGGACAGCGCATCACCAGAGCAAGAAATCAGAGGAGCAGCAATGGTTGACTTGAGGCAGTTTTGAGCTGCCACTGGTCTCAGAAGAATTTGGGCAAGGGAGCACACCAAGTGGCAGAGGGATTTGTCCATGAGGACCAAGTCCTCTGCACAGACACACGAAGCGGTGTCCTTGCAGGTGAACAGCATCCTTACAACAGGAGTAGCTCATCTCTTTCTCTGCTCTTTAACAAACAGGGGACACACATCTACCGGTACCGACCCAGGAACCCCGCAGGCAGAGAACAAGGCAAGGAGGTCTCCTGCTCACCGACTCATGAGAAACCTCCCGGGGCCACCAAATACAGAGGGGATGGAGCTGAGCCCAAAAAGACCATTGCAGGCAGCCAGCCCTACTGGCAGAGCAAAGCCTTCAGCCCCAGCAAGCCCACACAGCCCGGCCACCTCTCACCAAGCAAACGCTTAACCTCCCTGCCTGAAAGCCAGAAGACAACGGAGGAGATGAGGACACCCCTCGGCATCCCGCTCTCCAAACTGTCCCAGTCCAAGCACCTCAAGAACAGGGTTGCGGGATCCCCAGGTGCTTCTACTGACTCCAAAAAGAAACCCCCCGAGACCACCGGCCAGAAGGACCACTAGATGCTGGTGCAGGTGGACTTCCACGGCAAGAGTGGTAGTAGAGCGGGCCTGGACCCCAGGCAACGCCGTGTTACATGGGGCAGGGGATTCTTGTTTACATTTACCTGGTCAGTGCACCAATACCACGTGGCCATGATAGACAGTCCGAAAGTCATCCCGGTCCAGGGCAGATCTCCAGAGACCGGGTCTCGGAAGAGGTGCATTGCATCCGCTCTGGGCAGGTGGCAGGTAGTGTTGGGAACAATCTTGGATGGCACGGCTTTTAAATAGGCCTCTTCCAGGTTGGGGTAACCTCCGATCTCATTAAAAGCTGGAAAGCATCATTGGGGGAGGCTGGTTAGAGTTGAGCAAAACCCAGTGTCCTGTGAGATCAGCTGGCAAAATGCTCACCAACTCATTAACTCAGAAGTGCTGCCCAGAGAGGGAGGGCTCATTCGTGATTGTGTTTTATTTTAGTTATTTAAGAGACTCTTCTATTAATATTTTGCACAGCAGGTCCCATCACAGTCTACCCTTCCTTCAGAGGGTGACCCATGTTCTGGGAAAAAGACTCCTCAAGGGACCCATCTCTTTTGACCTTGTACTGTAAAAGCAACCTGTTTATTAAAGCTCCCCGGTCCTAGAGCAGGGGAAACTCACCTAGGACCATTAAAATGCAAGATAAGTTAGCCTCTGAGTTGATATACTACAGCTCAAGGTGCCTTGGCACAAGTGTCCAGCCAAACATTTTCTACCCCTCTGAGTGTTTCCCCAGCAGCCCCTGTGTGGTTCCATCCCCAAACCTCCAGCAAGAGCAGTAAAAAAAAAAAAAAAAAAAAAAAAAAAAAAAAGAGAGAAAGAAAGACCCTCTTCAATGCATTTTTCCTAGGAAATGGAATCCAAGGTCTGGGTCTTAGTCTGAGCCCTGCTGAGGAGAGTACGTGCCATGAACAAGCCCTAGCAAGTGAGCCTCCGAGCCCTTGGCAGCTGCTTGGCGATCCTCCTGCCTGCGCCACAGCCGCCAGCCCCTGGCAGCAGCTGCCAACCAGCCCTGGGCTCTGCTCCAGCCCCCCACAACCTCCCTGCTCCTGGGGCGCAGGGGCTGAACACTCCTTGCAGCTCCCCTGGTACCTCCAGCAGGAGAATTCTGGAGCCAGAGGCATCGGTTTTCTGAGGAGGGAGGGATGGGAGGCACCCGCTCTGCTCCCCCCACACTCTGCAGCCACCCACACAGCAGCTGTGAAGGAGATAAGCAGGGAGGGGTGTTGGCACCCCCATAGCCACAGCAGCTTCTGGTGTTCAGGAGAAGAGAAGAGGCTCTGGGACCTCCATGGGTCTCATGGAGGGGAAGACTCAAAGCAAGACTCCTGAGCATCCCTCGGATTTCCCTCTGCCTGGTCCAGCTGTCACATCCTGCATCCCTTCCACCCCCACCATGGGCTCAGTCTGGACCCTCAGCTTGGCCCCCTCAACATGGCAGCGTGGGGTGGGAACGTGCTCCTGCACACTCACCCTCCTGCAGGGCTGTGCCCATGAGCACTGCTGTCTTTAGACCGAGAACAAATCCTGCAGGCATTGGGTGCTGGACACTGGGACCACCATCAAGTCCCAGCTTCCAAGACACCCATCATGTTCTGTCAGACCCTCCAGCCATGGATGGCCCTCTCCCTTCCCAATACACCGTGCTCTCCCTTTTGCAAACCAGCCTCCCATATTTCATGAGAAGTCAGCGTTTGTAAACTCCTGCTCTTGCACAAGCAGCCCTGGCCCCACTCCAGCGCTTGGTTTATCCAGGCACTGGCTACTCCCAAGCTTTGCATGGGCGTTGGGCACCAACAAAGGCTCTCCAGAGGCAGAGGGTGAGCACTGAAAGCAGAGATTCACGCCCGGGGGTGCAGGCCTGCTCCTTTCCCAAACGTGTTCACCGACAAGTCACGACACCTACACCTGCCGAGACGGAAGAGCGGGGCAAAAACCTCAGGGCAGCAGGAACTCGGCTTGCAGATGCCAGGCTACAGCCCGCGGGCTCTGCCATGATTAACATCCCCACGGTGAATGCCAAGCGGGTGCAGGATGGCATGGTCTCTTATCTGTGATACCAGAGCCCAGCAGAGCCACCGCCAGCACCACCACGCTCTGAAACAGCCACCGAGCTCTCTGGGAAGCAAAGTCGTTTGTCTACAACCCCTTGGTCTGTACCCGCTTGTTGTCAGACTCAAGACTGCTCTGCCCAGCGTCACACCCGAGAGGATTTGTCCAACCCTCCTGCTCTCCCTGGGGAGATGCAACCTCAGAGCCAAGTGATACATTTTTTTGTCCCTTCAGCAGCAGCAGGGGAGGCGATGGCCCGGGCAGAGCAGACCTGGAGCAGTCCCAGCTTAGCAGATGAGCGTTGGCATCGCTACTGATACAAACAAGCTAAAACATGGAGAATATCCTTTATTAGATGAACTTGTCAAAACTGAGCACCCTTAAAGCACACCAGCCTCCAGGTCTGCATGTCCAGCAGCTTGTCTTTTGCCTCCCCTGGATCACTCCCTCCCCAAGCACCCTCACCTCCCCGCACACACCATGCCATGCTTGCAGGTTGGCAAAGCCAAAAAATCTGGGCTCTGCAGTCGCCAGAAGGGATTTTCCAGGCCTTGCCTACCTGCCCTCCTATTCTGGCTCTGCATTGCTGCTCCCAGCCAAGTTTACCGGGCACAAGCCTCAGAGAGCCCCATGGCCAACTACAGCTTCAGACAACGATCAGCCACATCCAAGCACCTCATCTAACGCAAAGGCTGCGGCCACCGCTCAGATCTGCTTCAACAGGCAGCGTGCTCCTCTGCCCGGCACTGCTCCTTGCTTCTGCTGGGGTAATTAGTATTATTGTCACTTCTCCAGGAAGTATCTGTCCTTTCATTTGCTTTTTGTAAATATATCTTGCTGTATACAGGCCTTGCCCAGGAGCAAGTTCTGCCTTTGCACAGGGGAGCAGCCGTGGGACCGGGCTGGCTGCAGGTCTGGAGCTGCTCCCACCTCCACAGCAGAGCTCCTGTGCAGCACTGGGTCAAAGCCTTTCCTACCTGCCCACCTAGGCAGGCTTCTCCAGGAGATGGTGGAAATCATCTCAGGAGTGCCTCTGGAAACCATCCTCTGTAGTTAAACACCTGCCTTTGAAGCTGGGACCTGACTCTTTGCCTCCTACTCCTCGGGGCCAAGAGCACCGATAGCAGAACAAGGCTGATGAAAGCTCCCAGCCTCACAAGGGTGCTCTGCAGCTAAATGTACAGAGACACAACAGTGCTGAGTGCTCAGGATGAACCACGTTTCCTCCAACTGGGAGGAAGGTACAGCACCATGCTCTGCATCCAGGCAATCCCCTGCAGTGGTGCCTTGTACCAACACCACCTTCTGCCACGCACATCCCCATCCAGTGGGATCCTGTCTGAAGACCTCACTGCAAGTTTCCTAGAGCAAAACTGGAAACACTGCTTTGCTGTCAAACGCTTGATCAGTCTCTTGGAGCTCACGGACTAAAGGCGAACATAAGGAGGAGTGGTAACCACGGGAAGGTCACTGGTGCTAGGGACAGCCCCAGGCAGAGGGCCAGGGGGATGCTTCATGGCATCTTCACCCAGAGGAATGACACGTAGGGGAAGTACAGTGGCAGACAGGACACAGGGACCATAGACTTTCTTTAGGCAATTGCTATGAGCCAAAGTCCTGCTGGGCATCTTGACCACTGAATTACTCAGACTGAGTCTTTTTATTTATGTCTGAGACTGCCTGAGTGGGGAGAGAAGGTCCCCCTGGAAGGAGGGTTTGTGTTGTCCCAGCCCTTACCTTTCACCGCCAGCACGATGGCTCCAAGGACCATGATGAGTGTCTGCAGCGCATCGGTGTAGATGACGGCTGCCAGCCCTCCTGCACAAGAGCAAGGCACAGCGTTGGAAATGCCACCAGCTTCAGGCTCAGCTCAGTCCTGAACCCCAGTAAATCTGCCTGTGCTTGCGGGGACGTGCCTGTCACCGGCCTCATCCTGCTGACACGGCGGTGATGGGGAGCATGAAGGGGGAACAGCTCCTCCGTGGGTCTGGTGTCAAGGGGTGACATCACCCCCATAGGTGGGATGGGAAGGGGGAGCTGAGGGATGGCAGGAGTGGGGGGATGCAGCCCCACGTCCCCACGCAGTCAGGAAGGTGCCAGCCAGCCCCAGCCCCAGCTCTTGGGATGCAAGCAGACCACATTCAGGTTGTTGATCTCATTATTCATCCCACCTCTCCCTAACACCATGATCTCCCCTTCGTATACTCCTCAGCTCTCCTCCCAGCGCTACAGTTTTATTTTTCCAGCAGCTGATGCTTCATGGGGTCCCCCTTGGCCACCCAGCCAGCAGCAGTTCTCCCTTTCCATCCCAAGCTCTCCCTCCAGACCTGCTGCAAACCCAGGCCCAGCTCACCAAGCCAGAAAGCAGTTACTCAGCATACGAACAAAAGCATTAAAAAGTAGCGGAGCTGGAGAAAATGGGTCAAAAATTGAACCAGTTTCAACTCAAGTCACCGACTCATATCCTGGGAATTCAGGGCTGTACCCTCCCAGGCCATGACTGGGAGTTGGAGGGATGTTCTCAGGATCAGGGTGACGCAGTGATCACACCCTCTGCTGAGCTCACGCTGAAACGCCTTACTTCACAACAAGCCTTGTAGGCAGGAAAAAACCCCAAGATGGGATTTGCTTAAAACCCAAGTCTTGCAAAATCCACCCATGTTTCGGATATACTTAAACTGTTTCCCGTTTTGATGGCTTGGACAAGATAGCGAGGGAGAATTTACTGCCTGGTGTCTGCACTAGCCCCACCAGCGAAAGGAACATCCCAGTCAAAATAATAACCAAAATCTGGCAGAGACACACAGTCCCATGGGACTGCAAGCCAGGAGCCCACAATTCACAACTCCTGCTCCAAACCCTTGTGGTCTATGGATCACAAAAAGACCATATGGACAGACCCTGCACAAAAATAGCTGGTCGCACAACAGGGAAACATGAGCAAGAAGTATTCCCAAAAGCTTTGCAGAGAGAAGGCAGCAAGTTGCATCACAGGCAGGGCAAGTGGGAGGGAAATGAGTTGGGTAAAGAGCTCTCAGACTCTGCAGATTCTGTAGTAACAGTCCTGTAATTGCAGAAGCCCTGATTATTGCTGTTACAAATAGGTACATACATAAGAAAGCATTTAACTATGTGATGGAGGAGGAGTTACTACGAATGAATAACTGTAATGACAAAGGAGAGGTCATGCACTGAGTCACTGCCTGAGCCAAGGCTCAAGAAGGATGCTCAGATACTGGCTGGATAGGACAGGGAGCATGAACCCCATTAGTATAAATCCCCAAGGGCCTTCCAGGAGAAATAAATAAATAAATGAAATAAAAGCAGGAGTGTAAGTGGTGTGGTTCAACCAAAGAAGAAAGATTGAGGCCAGCAGATGCTGAGCAACTTACCCGCAATGGTGTAGAGCCCTGTGACCACCAGCATCAGGACGGTGGAGAGGTAAAGGTCCCAGCCCAGGCAGACTTGCACAAAGAGGGCCCCTGAGTACAGGTCCGTCTGCACGAGGGAGAAGAAACACAGGCTGGGACAGGTGACATCACTTTGGCCAGGCAGCACCCACGGACTGTTGCACGAGTGGCACGGCAGGGAAACTGTCAACACTGCGGGTACAGCGAGGACATTGTACTGCACGTGCCAGGAGGGCATCTCCCGAAGCCAGTGCTGAAGCCCGGGGTCCCACAGGGGTGGCCGTGTCACTGCTGTAGATGGGTGTCACAGACCACCTTCCCCCAACCCCGAACTGTGGAGCTGCAGATGCAGCCGAGCTCAGCTGGATACAGACAGCAGGATGGAAGGGTCAGAAACGGGATGTTTCAGGGCGTAAGTGCTGCCACAGCCTTTGGGAGCAAAGCAGGGAGGTGGAGATACTCAGCCTCTTCCCAGGATCAGACCCTGACCTGAGCTACCTCCTTGCTGCCCTGAGTACCTCCCATTCCCCCACCCTGCTCATCCGGGTGGCATCTCACCACGCTTCCTCCAGAGCCCTGGAGATGGGGCACCCGGTACCAAAAAAGACGCTGTGCTCTCCTAGAACACCAGCACCTTTGGGTGCTCCCTGGAGGCAGCCCAAC